AGACAAATCTGATTAAATCAAAGAAAGTTAACATGTGCGCTAAATATATATAGACAGCAAAAATCAAATAAAACTAACTATATATATATATATACAGTATATAAGAGATGCACCAATACCATTTTTTCCCCAGAAAAAATACAAGTACTTATACTTGTCCAAGAACTCACACATACCAATTACTGATACCTTTTTCTTTCATATCATGGGACAGTTTTTCTAAAACAATACAGATTAATGATTTCAGGATAGTGGTGGAGCACCAGGGTCCAGTCTCAGCTACAATCACTGTGATCCTGGTAGTTTTCATGAAAATGCCAAGTATCGACACTGCTACAGATACTGGTATCTGAACATCCCTAAAAGTTTATGTTTTAACATTCTTTTATTAGTACGTAGGGAAAATTTTGTATTTATCAAATTCAGCCAACAGGTTGAGCTCCAGAGTGTGATGGTTACATCCTGTTATGTTCACATATATTCACGTTTCAACACACAGGCGCATGCAAATATGCCAAGACTTAGAAAAGGATCACACCCCCTTCTCTCACTCTAGTTCATATCATTCTATGGAGTATAGTTAGAGAGAGATTTTTTTTTAAGTAAAAATCTACCACTGGGTTGTCCTATTAGAAACACAGTGTCTTGAAAGTAACCTGTATCTAATATTTATTTCTAAAATGAATAGTTTACAGAAGTAATGAAAAAGGTTACATAAACATTCTATTTATAAACTTGCACACAAAAATCAATATGGCTTCCCTTTATTAAAATATGCTACACCAAGAGTAAAGTATATTCTGCATTCTGAATACCGCTGATAATTTGACAAAATATCATCGTTATTCAGTAACAGCACTAGCTATTAAAATTGTAAAAAATATATAAAGATTATGTTCAGATAAGAACATTTTTTAACTGATATTGGGAAAACTTTGAAAGGGGAGAGGGATTTTTTTGTGTAATCCTAAATTGACCAGACTCTTAATCCATCATGAAGCACGTGTTTTAACTTTCAAAGTATTTTATTAAAAGTACAATAAAACAATAAAATAGCACATGATGCACAATCAGTATATCATTACAGTTTCTTCAACATTAGCATAATCAAGTAGTAGGAGGGGATCACTAGAGGCCATACACACAATATATAATAGTTCTGTACAACAGAACATACCTATCCACCTATCCACCTATCCAATTTATCCCCCATCACTAAAATAAAAAATCAGAACAGTTTGAGAGGAATATCTGGCCTAGGGATCCGCCTATGTCTGAAGCAAACATTTGTTATGATCTCCTCCATATCTATATCAATAGAAGGCTTTCTGTCCAGCATCTATGTACTAAATGGCTCACATATGCGAGCATAAAGTCATAATCCACGACATTTTTTGTTTGACCAAGTGGAATGGAATTGTTGGTGTTTTCCAAGCCCTAGCTATGGTTATTTTGGCCGCCAACAGAAAGAAAGTAATTAATTTATCCAAAGCTTTAGACAGTCCTGGAATCGGGCAATTCAGCAACACATATTGGGGATATCGTGGGATATTTAGTAACCCTAAATATTAGAGCATAAAGCCGGTTCCAAAAAGGTCTCAATTTGGGGCATTCCCACCATATGTGATATATCGTGCCCGAGTGTGCACATCCCCTAAAAAAATCAGGAGAAACCTCTGGGTATATTCTCGCTAGTCTGGCAGGGACCATATACCACCTAGATAGAACATTATTGCCAAGACACTGAGTCAAAGGCTTTTTGTAAGTCTATAGACAACAGAAGCCCAGCTTGTGATTGCCCTCCATCCCACCCTGACTGCAACAAGGTGATAATATCAATGGCCCTTCTAATTTGATCCGGGCCTTGCCTACCCCTAATGAAGCCCACTTGATCCTTATGAATATAGGATGGTAGGAAGGAGCTCAATCGATTAGCAAGAATTTTAAAGGAGATCTCAAAGGAGATCGGTCTATAGTTGGATATTTCCCCCAAGTCCTTGTTGGGTTTAGGGAGAACTGTAAGATAGGCCCTATTTAAATCTGTGTGTAAAGGACTCCCCCGTCTCACTTCATTAAAGAATCTCTCCAATTGAGGCACCAAGACATCCGAGAACTTCTTATAATATAGGGCAGGCAGTCCATCCGGGCCCGGAGCCGATGACAATTTTGCCTGCTTGATAGCTTGTTTAATTTCCAGTGCCGAGATGGGTGCTTCCATAATCATGGAATGATCCAATGACACGGGTGGAAGGTGAACCTCACTAAGAAATGATCTCAATGAATCAGATGAGACTGGAGTGTTATCCTGATAAAGTTTAGTGAAAAACAAGTGAAATTCCTGAAGAACAGTTGCTGGATGTAATGAGTATGCGCCAGATGTACATCGAATTTTAGGGAACGTGTAAACTCTAGGTTTAGGGGATAGTTTAGTGGCTAAGAGGGTACCAATTTTGTCTTTATGGACATAATATTTGTTATCTGACCATCGAAGACTTTTTTCCGCTTTAGTAGGTAGTAACCCTGGATAAAACTAGATTAGAATTGAACTTGTTACTAACTAATGAAGCACGTGTTTTAGATAAAATAGTTGCCACACTAGCCAGAAAGTTCAGTTTATCCAAAATGATTTTTTTCGATCTTTTAAAGAACTTCATGTTACATATGGCTAAATATATGATCAATATATGATATGATAAATATATCATGTGTTTACAGTGATGTTCAATTTCAAAAAAATTTTTGCAAATATTTAACCAAAATATTGTACTGTAAAAAAATACTGTAGCGATTTTTTGTTTCTTTCCTGTAAACAGGGACAGCTACCATAGTAATAGGATTTTTGCAGAAGGGAATCTTCTGGGGGCAGATAAGTTTAACAACTACACCACCCACCCCCACGACACACAAGCACATGCACACATATACACACACAAACACACACAGAGCCCCTTGTGTTTTATAAGTTTCTATAAATGCAAGATTTGCAGTATTCGTGGGGTAGGGGAGGGCATCCTGTTTCCCACTAGCTCCCTATGGGCATA